AGTCTGATAGTTGTAGACTGGCGTTTCCGAGGTGCTTACTGCCACCATCGTCAGGGCGGCATACACATTTTCGGAAGCGAAAGGCAGGGGGGAGGAGGGCGTAACTGAAAATTTAGCCATGTTGGTTGTGCAGTGATGACTCAGATTCTACAATGATTTGTTTGAACCAGTAAGTTAATATAACCTAATAATAGTACACAATGAGAAGAGAGGATATTCAATCACAAATTTTTGGCACTGTGAAGTCAGCAGTTCGGTTAAAGAGGAAGTTTTCTTCTTCAGTAGAACAATGCAACTACTTTACCACAAAGCTGGCATGGTTCCAGGGTTGAAAATTTGTAAGACCCTCCTACATCCGTCATACAAGTCTAATCTGGCAACACTTGGAGCCAAACACGCAAGACTCATGTGGATGCATTTCAGCGTTGCCATGGTAGTAGGATAATTTCTCGTTTAGGAAGAATGCATTTTAAGGACTCGGTAACGTAATGGGCTACGGGCTGGACGAACGGGGTTCGATTACTGGCGCGACAGGAATACCTTTCATGGCCACCATAAAACGATCAACTCTATGGTTAGCTAATCATATCTGAAGAACAGGGCATATAATCAATATAAAACAACAACCAAGATGGAGAAAGTTTAGAACTCTAAAGAAACATACAAATTATAAAATATATGCAACAAGGGACCTAACCTTCTGATACGGAAAGACAATAGTAGGCTAATTATGTGGGTGAAGCGTATATTCCAAGCATTTAAATCGACTAGTTTTTAAATGTCAAAAACCTACATATGATAACCATTTCGCATGTAAACATTAATTTTCAAAGTGCTTACTGAAACTGAAGAGGTAAAATCGTTAATTTTCCAAACATCATTTGAAGGAGCATAAATTATAATTCACATTTCATTCTTTAATAGAACTGCAACGTTAAAATGTTTTCTGTTCGAGGCGTACTGTAAAATACTGAGCACTGTGAAATGAAGTTGTCCCGAACTCTTGAGTGTAATTTTAGATTGTGACTAAAAATAAAATCCTGTGTAAGAGAGAGGGTACAGAAACTGAAGTACAGTAGCCACGAGGAAATCGTTAGCGAACCACGCGTTGTAAAATATATAATCTAGGCTGTGTTACAGCATCTCTCCTCATCCGATATTTAGATTTCATTTTGCAGAGCTTGTTTTCTTTCTTCCGACACAAGAACCAAAATAAGCATGTACAGAAGAATTATGGGCTTCTTCGGAGGTGAGTAACGATTTGAAATTAATTATTTAAGTTTCACAGAACACGTTCTTACTTCTATAAAATTACTTTGAATCTTAAATCGTAATCAGCAATTATTTATCTAAAGCTTCTGCGCACTTGAAAGAGCAGTATATCGTATTTAGATCTTTAATATCTGAGGTATATTGATTCTCGCAGCCTTTCCAATGGTAAAATAAAATCCTATTACGATATACACCCCACGAAAAAAATACATAAATTTAAGCTTAATAAAATTGAAATGTAAACAGAATGCATTACTTTACTTTAATAAATATGAAAATTAAAAATAAAATTAAACCGTCATCAATATAAAAATATAAGTAGGTATTTAAAATACTGTGTATTTCTTATTAGTAAGATTCAGCGCTGTTAATTAGGACTCACTCACTCTATGGTGCAGGAAATTCTTTGAAAAGACGACTGCATACTCGGCTTGTCAAAAAGTAGCCGCTGCTAATTTGGACAGACTCAATAATGAAAATGTTTTCAGAATCCGGGCATCTATTTTATATTGCAACTCTGATCTGCATCTGAATTGCGGATTCTGTTACTAAACAGAGAAGAAATAAACAGTTCATTTGTATGGCACGTAGCCTACTTTGGAACGCTACATACAGAAAGGAGCCGGGATAGCTCAGTCAGTTTAGTGACTAGCTACGGGCTGGACGACCGGGGTTCGATCCCCGACGGGGGCAGAGGATTTTTCCTTTAGCCTCTGCGTCCAGACCGGCTCTG